TTTTACTTGAAGTATGATAAATGTGAGGTAGCTATATAGCACTAACTTGACATGTAGAAAAACAGGGTTTCGATGAAGGTGATTTATTGAGCTCGCTTTCAATAAAAATTGCTATTGCAACTTATTTTTTACTGATATTTACCCATTCATACTTGGTATGTTTTACTCTAAATATCTAACGATGTGAACAATTAGAAATAAACAATCTAAATTAAATGGTTGCGCTTAAACTGAATAGGCTCTGCAATATTTTACCCTTCTTTTAATAAAATTAGAATTATTAAAATATAGTTATTTAACGCATATTACTTTTTAAGGATAAAGCTATATTGAGCTTTAAATTTTTTAGTGCCTTCCGCGCAGCCTCCGCTCATACTCGCTTTTGCTTGCTCTGCCCTGGTAATTTCCACATGGCGCATATGCTCCTCGTCCTAGCCTTCTCTATCACCCCGTTCTTGTCCGAAGGACTTGCGCCTAAGTATTTTCTCAGAAAGGAGTTGAGTTTGGTTACGCCTTATTTGGGTATAACGACCACTATTTCTAGCCTTACCTTTTTCGTCATACTCGTGCATTCTATCCTCATGCTTACTTTAAGCTCAGCCTTATCCCCGTTTCCTTTTTAAAACGCATTTTTCAGGCAGTTGGCAATTTTATGGGAGCTGTTTTATCTCTCCAGAACAAGTAAGATTGACTAGAGACGATCGTAGTCTTAAAGGAGCTATTTATAACACGGTTCCGGTCACTTTTCCTGAGTGGGAAGTTCACATCACGTTCAGGGTGCATGGGGCTACAGGGAAGCTATTCGGAGACGGATTTGCGTTCTGGTACACCAGGGATTTCTTATCCCCTGGTGATGCCTTCGGAAGTCAAGCCAAATTTTATGGATTAGGGGTATTTTTTGATACATATAGCAACCATAATGGCGAACATAAACACGATCATCCATATATTAGTGCAATGGTCGATGATGGAACTTCATTATATGATCACAACCGCGATGGTACGCATACACAGCTTGCCGGTTGTTCATCTAACTTTCGGAACCTTCCTCAAGATGCGGTAGCTGCTATTAGATACTCGAGGAAGCAGCTTAGGGTAAGTTAGCTTTGCCTTTGTTCCCTGCCTAAGCAATCCTTATAAGCAAATTTTTTGTGCAGGTTTCTGTTGATTTGGACAATTCTGGAAAGTGGCGAGATTGCTTCACAGCTTATAATGTCAATTTGCCTACTAATTTATACTTTGGACTCTCGGCAGCAACTGGAGACCTGTCAGGTCAATATTTAAACGCATTTTTAGATTTACTTGTTTCATTATTAGCATTCTAAATGTCGCTCATCGGCTTTCTTTTTTGCTTCCGAACAATAATACATCGTATACCTAAAGCCTAGCCTACTATTGGGCTTTACTATGAATGAACTAATTTCTTCTAAATTCTTCGATGAATTTTGAATTCGTATCTTTGTTTCTCTAATCCATAGATAACCACGATATTCGCTCAATGAAAGTCTATGAACTTGAGGGAGAACAGGTGAGAAGACTAGATTTTTTTAGCAAATTTGATTGCAAATGTCCTAAAAAATTTTCTCCTGTTTAACATCCTTTAGGACACTGTCGATCATTCTAAGATCGTACCTTATGCTGGAGGTCTCGAGAAAGCACTGGGTGAGTCTTAAATGCTTGAATCATATTGATTTGTACTTAGCCTATATTTGGTTTTAAATGCTCGAGAAATTGGTTTTATCTTTTTAAATCTTGTGCTTTTGTGCATAGACCTACAAGGCAGATTAGCGATGACCCTAAGCGGCCTTGATTTGTATT